ATTAAGACAACCTATATTAATTTCTAAGTAAAATATGTTTAGCACATAAAAAAATATATAATTATATATTTTTTAAATTTATTAATTATTAAAGCTTGGACATGCTCTGGACACTTTTGGACACTTGGACATTTGGACATTGGACAGTATCAAAAAAGCCTTTGGACAGTCAAAATATATATCACTGACTATAGGTATAAAGCAGGAAAAAGCCATATATCAAAGATGTATTAGTTTTATCTTGTTTTTATACCTATAGTGACTCCTTTCCGAATATTGCCAGAAAAAAGAGATAAAATCAAGCAAACTTTTTTTATAGGGTTTTATAATAACCCAATTAATTTAATTAAGTTTACAATGCTAGTCAAATTCGTAAACTAAAAATATCCTATTCGGTTAAAGTTGTTTCAATCCAAGAAATATTGTACATGCTGTTGATACCTGAATTACATAACAGTATTGTGGCAAATTTATGAAATAACCAAAATATGAAAATTTTGACCACTAAGTAAACAATTAAGGTGCATAATAAAGTTCTATGTCTAACCGGGTTAAGATGCATCATTATAATAAAGTTCTATGTCTAACCGGGTTAAGATGCATCATTATAATAAATTCTATGTCTAATAAGATACGTCAAATGTGGGAAGATGGGGTTAGACACGTTATCAATCAAGGTCATTGGTCCAAAAAAATTTTTCAGGGTTTAACATTGATTTGTTAATATACAATTTGGTAACTAAAATTTAAAATTGGAACCAAATACTCAATTTGGTGACTGAATTTCATAAATTCGTAGTGGATCATATGTAATTATAAATATATTTTTTAAAATAAATGTTATTTACTAGCTCAAAACTAATTATTTAATAAAATTTGTTACAATTGGTTAAAATTACTTATTGACAAATATACTAGTTTTAATTTTTTATATTCAAATTTAACTAAAATAAATAACTTGTTTTGGATAAGTATAATATATTTAATTTAAAAGATATTAAAATTATATGTAGCATAATAATTAGATTTAATTTTTTTAAAGAATATTTATTTGCGGGCTAAGTGAGCTAAGATTTTAATTAATTAAAGCAGCCCAGCTAGGCCAGCAAAAATTTTTTAAAATTAAAAGCGGGCCAGGCCGAGCCACAAAAATTGGTAATTTGCAGGCCTCTACCTGGCACAGAATGTTCTTTTAATTAGAAGTACAATCCCATATGTACCACCCTGCAACGCCACCCTCAAATGTTCAGCAGTAATCTTTATCGTTAGTGAATGGCCCGCGCTTCTTTGGATCTCGTAAAGTGCCTTCTACAAAGAAAATCAACCAAAATGTTTGTTTTTCGTTAGGTATGTTCAAACTGAAGCCATCGTGAGCAGTTGACCATTCAAAATCATAAGTTTCATCAGAATCGTTCGGACCTTGGCAGGCAGTAACTTGAGCCCTTGTACCGGGAAACAATTTGTTGTGGATCCATATCATATGACCTGTATATATATATATTGTTAAACCCAATCAATACATAATAATATTGAGACAATTGCTGCTATAATTATTCAAAAATTACCATCAATAAGCTGCACAAAAGTTAAGATAATGGCAATTATTAAGGTGAAAAGAAAAAAAATTTCATGACAATTATAGAAAAATGGTAAATTTGGTATTCTGATAAAAAAATTCGCACTTCTTCACGAAATAGTAAATGAGTATGTTATGATGCTGCTTAAGATTGATCCTGGAGTATATCGATATATATATTGAAGATTTTGTACTGCATTATCTGTTATAGAAATATTTTATCTGGCCGTTACATCTCCATATTTGAAATTCTAAGCTGAATAACTTCGTGAAAATTTATTTAGTATAAAAACAAAACAGAAATTCGTATCATTCAAAAAATAATCATCGACGAAAATTCTATGTGACACAGCTTCTAATTTAGGCCATACATACATATTTTTGGGTTTCATATCCCAGTCGGGTCAGCAGAGTGGGAATCCTAAATTTTTATTTTTTTAATATATCAATAGAAATATTCCACACGCATCATGTGAAAAAACAAAGTTGAATTGTTAAGTTTTTGCAAAATAGTGACAATTTCAGTTCTAATTTCATCCTAATCTTTTTTGTATTGATCTATCATCATATAAGTGCCGCAAAGCTATAACATGTAAACTAGCCCTATGCGTTGACAATAGTCACGCTAGGGCTATTATCGCGAGGATCAACCAGATTTAGGCTTTGTGTAATGTGAATTAGTAATACTTGCATGTGGATGTAGTTGGAAAGTGCTAGTGCTTTTTTACTTTGCTTGTCTATTTCACCTACTCTTTTCACTGCTTGACTTCTGGTCTGGCTTCTTCGTGTTTAACGTAACTTCAAAATAGAACAGAGAGAAAAAAAAAAAAAAAAAAAAAAAAAAAAAAAAAAAAAAAAAAAGAAAGAAAGGAAAAGCAAAGAAAGGAAAATCAAAAAAAGGAAAAGCAGGAGACTATGTCAGACACAAACCTC